CTCCTATTGTGTATATATTACAGAAGGATGTGAACAAGTTTCTAGATGGTGAAAGGAGAAGGGGTGATGGAGTGGATTTTTGGCAATTTTCTAATAAAAATCGTGATCCTGGAGATTTGAAATGACCCAAAAACACAAGCTTTTTATCATTAATCAGGTATATCTTTTTAACAAAATATAATTACTAACTTCATGATACAGGTATTTGTGTGAATATGGAAAACAAGATGCTCGTGAAACATCCTCTATTATAGTTGCTGAATCTACACCAAAGTCAGGATTTGGAAGTAGACTAGGTCAAAGTTCTAATAAGCGGGGTTGCTTTTGCAATTTTTTGGTCAAACAGTTTTACAAATGGCCTGATTATGTGCAGATTACATATTATCATAGAGAACATTGTGATAAGAATGGCATTCCTTGTCATGGTCAACTTGATCCGACTGGGGGAAAGTCATTATTTCCTCAGAAGCTTTCAGCAGATATTCGACATTGGGTGATTCATATGATTCAGCAGGATTTCACATCAAATCAGATTTATAATGAGCATATACAGATTGTGGAAAGGAACAAGTTAGCTGGTGAACCTCTTCATCGAGATGATTTTCTAACTATGTAAGATATCAACAATCTGCATAGGAAGTATTCACTTTCAACTTATCGATTACATGAGAATGACGCATAGAGTGTACGTATTTGGAAGAACACAAATCCCGAGAAAGTTCAATTCATGCAGCTTTTCATGATGATAATATTATGCAAGCTGAGATTAAACAACTTATTGAACATTTTGAGGTGGATTTTCAAAATGAAGTAGCCTTTATCAAGTATTTTCAAGACGAATGGAAGGACAAAGTTGGTAAGTGAATCAATAATTTAATTTTTATAATTTATTTTAATTTATATTTGATAGATATGTGGGTTGTTGCTGCTCGAAATTTCCCTCATGCTAACAAGGAGACAAATAGTTCAATTGAGGCATTCCATGCAAATATGAAAGCTATATTCTCATCCGAAAAAAAACATGGTCGCAATCGAAGGATGGATTGGGCAATTCATCAACTTACTACTAAGGTTCATACGAGGTACTGGTTTACTACTTATTGCAAAGATCATGGTTTTATCCGAAACCATGCATATGAAAAGCTAATCGATGGTGCAATTGTTAAAGCAAGAAATATTAACGACTCTCAAGTAAAATTCGATAAGGACAATACTCACAAATCCTATGTACAATCCTCTTTAGATCCAACTATATGGTATCTTGTTGTCGGAGGTGAAGGACACAGTGATTGGGCTTTTTCGACTTGGTGTAATTGTCCATGGGCAACCAAAGGAAACTTTTGCAAGCATCAAACAAAAGTTATTATGTTAAAACAAGGAGAAAAAACCGATTGGACTACAACTAGTTATAAGGTTCAACCATCACAATCGCATGCAATCTTAGAACCTGGGCCAGATGATTTATTTTATCGTCATCAAGATTTTGAAGCACTTGACTTGGAAGCTATGACAGAGGTAATTCACTTATTAATTAAAATTTTGAAATACTTATAAAAATTTAAGCAGGAAAACATCCATCAAGATGTTTATCATGAGCAAGAAATTCAGTTGGAGACTACATTAGAGGTAAACTAACATATTTTATATACTAATATATATGAATATTGAGCAGGAAGATATCCATCAAAATATACAGCATCAACAAGAAATTCAGCTAAGGACTACTATAGAAGTAATTTACACTAAATAAATTTTAAATATTGATATGAACTTTAAGCAGGAAGATATCACTCCATCAAAAGTTACAAAAACGACATTACAACAAAAGATGATGGATATCTTACAAGATCTTTCTGATAAAGAAGCTTTTTTATCTATGGTTGACAATAATTTAAAAATGATACAGCAGAAGGTTGCAACTTTTAAAGCCAGGCCAGACAATCTTATTCATCCTACAGCAGAATTTCAACAGCGTGTTGATAGTTATGGTACATCCTTGGAGCAAGCAAAACCTTTGGTGGAAAGAATTACAGGTAAAAGAAAAGCTTCTAGTAGTCCAAAAGCAACTCCTTTCACTAGGCAGAGGAAGACAAGAAAGAAAAGCTCTTTAAACGAAAAACTCAATCTTAGCAAAGAATAAATTAAAAAAACAAACTCTTTATATACTTACATTGCAATATATTTAAATTAGCGAGAAGATTTCATAAGTTTACCACTCCTAATGGTCATCCATGACACTCATTGGCCACGTAAAGCACGTAGAAAGGCGTCCACGCGCGCGCTGATTGAAATTTGGGTAAGTGTTGGGGCTGTGGCCACGTGGAAGTAATTTTAGGGCGCACGCTGGGCGGGCGGGAGCCGTGAGGGCGATAGCCGCGGGCGGGAGTGTGCAGCAGCGACGGACGGGAGAGGGAGTGCACTGGAGATAAAACAAAAAGGAGGGCTGATGCCACGTCATCGTCAGGTAAGCGGAGAGAGAGTGAATCAGGATGGTGTTTAACGGGAGGCGTGTAAATAGCCTTAAAGTCAAAACATGTGCCCACATGAAAGAGAACAGCCTTAAAGTCAAAACATGTGCCCCTGTGCAAGCTTTTTGATGACCCAAACTAACGCATTGGCACTATAAAGAACAGGGAGGATGAAGCCACGATATTCTCATGGAGGACTTTGAGGCTGTGTGCAAGAATGCGGTGCAAGCCCAAGAGGAGGCACTCGTCCAAATCTTGCAGAGAAATGGTAGCTGCCAATATCTACAAAGGTCCGGGCAGCCCCTGTGTTTGAAATCCTTCAAGGCTCAGCTTCCAATCATCTCCTACGACAACATTTCTCCAGAACTCCAACAGATAGCTGATCATGGAACTTCTCACCTCCTCTTGGGCTGCGATCCGATTCTATACTTCACATTTAGGTACGATCTTTTATATTCTCTTCCTAATGTTTCGAATGTGTCGCCATGAATCCAGCTCAGGGACGTCGTCTGGCAAGCATAAGATCTTACCGCAGACAAACTGTGGATACTCTTTGCTAGCCAGAGCATACGCATCCTCGAATGCTTATAGAGACGAGTAAGAATCTATGTTAGTGCATATAAGCTTGACCGGATCTTTGCCAGAATCTTCCCGCTGGAGAGCACCAAGCCCATTGGACTGCACTTTGTGTATTCCGGAGAACAGTATAAGGCCAAGTCTGGCCTGTTAATAGGAGCCGGATCAACAAACTACTACAAGAGCGAAGCGTACAACCAAGAGGCGGAAACTCTCGCCACTCCGTACGAGGCGCTGCTTGCCGGATCGGATTGGCAGCAAACGACTTACTGCCACTTACTCTGCGGCCTCGTCCAGCGCCACAAGATTGAGTTCATCCACGCAACCTTTGCCTACACGCTCAGTGAGGTGTTCAGGCTTCTCGAGAGCAACTGGAAGATTCTATGCGAGGACATATCCGCTCGGCGTGTGAGCGAGAGCAAGGTCACGGATGAAAAGCTCAGGGTGCCGGTCTTGAAGCTCATGGAGCGCGAGCTCAGAGGTAAGGATTCGTCGCAAGTTGCAAGGGAGATCTCGGAGATCTTCATCGCAGGCACAGAATCGAGATGGTCTGGTTTGCTTCCGCTGCTTTGGCCGAGAGCCAAATACGTGCACACGGTTGTAACTGGTGCCATGGAACCTTACATTCCTGTGCTCAAGAAGTACGCTGGAGATAAGTTGGCGATTGTGGGATTCGACTACTCTGCGTCGGAGGGTTACCTTGGAATCAATATGCGGCCTGCCACTCCCCCGGAGGAAGTTGTTTTCACGCTCATCCCCTACACTATGTTCTTCGAGTTCATTCCGGTCGATCCGGAAGAAGTTCCTGATCATCAGAAAGGAGAGACTCTTGGTTTTAAGGACCTTCAAGTGGGAAAGCAGTATGAACTTGTGGTGACTACGTTTGAAGGTCAGCCTTTCTTTGTTCATGCAAAGATCTTTTCTTTCCTTTTATCTCTTCCAGGATTGTATCGCTAAAGGATTGGAGATGTTGTCAAAGTGACCGGATTCCACCACGAGTCGCCCATCGTCGCTTTCTCCTATCGCAAGAACGCCGTGCTGAGCATCAATGCGGAGAAGGTTGACGAACAAGAACTCCAAAAGGTTGTCATGGGCAGCGCCTGTCCCCTGGAGATCGCAAACTTCACCAGCTGCGCTGATTTCACTACCAAGGAACGTCCACACTACGTGATCTACTGGGAGCTCAAGAACGATGGGGATAACTCCAGGCATGAGGAGCTGAGGGATTCGTGCAATGCCCTGGATAGAGGCTTCAATGCCGCTTACCTGACTGGAGGGGTGGACAAGACTCTGGGAGCGCTGGAACTGGTGACTGTGAAGCAAGGGACGTTTGAGAAACTCATGGAGAAAGCGATCGAGAGCGGAGCTTTAGCCAGTCAGTACAAGACCCCACGATGCATTAAGTCTCCTGCGCTGCTTGAGTTGCTCGACCGAGGTGCCATCGGCCGGTACACCAGCTCCGAGGACATATCAAGCCTTCTAGCTGAGGATTGGAAGCCAAGTGTCATCCATGGTTTGTAAAGCTCATAAACTCAATTACCATAACAATAACAGATTTTATTTCTTATTATACAAATAATTTTTCCTTGAAATTTCTAAATGATTGTTTAAGGCCTCAGCTGGTCGAAACCTGCCCTTTTGTGCTTGGAATATGCGCAAAAAATTTGGGAAAGCATATTCTATCAATTCCTGGCGGCAAAGCGAGAGATCGATCCCGGCAACATTAAAAGACGCGTCTGTCCGTCGGATCCCGCAGGACCACGATCCCGACACGTGTCAGGCACGTAAAAGTTCCCCATTCTTCCGCTCGCATTTTGGGGCCTCTCGTCTTCTTCCTTCCCTTCCTCGCCAAGCGCAATAGGTAGAAGAACATCACACAAACACGGTTAGATTAGATAGAGAGAAGAGAGAAAGAAAAAATGGATGGATGGATAGATAGATAGGACGATACCTCTCTCTCTCTTTATGGGCCACTTTACCCGCGACGAGCCCGGCGACCTCATCAACACGCTCCTCTGCGACGAGCTCCTGTCCGAGATCCTCTCCCGCCTCCACTCCACCCAAGACCGCAAATCTGCCACCCTCGTCTGCAAGAGATGGCTCTCCCTCGAGGGCCGGATCAAAACCAAGCTCGGCCTCTGCGTCCCCGACCCCTCCACCATCCTCTCCTTGTGCTCCTCCATCCACGCCCTCTTCCACAGGTACTCCCACCTCGTCTCCCTCGCCGTCGTCTCCGAGGGCGACCAGCATGACTCCCAGGCGCTGGACCTCATCCTCTCGGCGATGGCGTCCTCCTGTCCACTGCTGCGCGAGCTCCGCTTCCTCGCCGGCCCCGTCACCACCTCCGGCCTGGAGCCCCTGGCCCGAGCATGCAATTGCCTCGTCTCCCTGGAGCTTGTCGCGCTGGCGACTCAGCACTTGCCCGTGCTCAACGAGTTCCGGTCCCTGTCCGAGCTCTCGCTCACCGGTTGCCTCAGCGGCGACAGCTCCGACCTGGCTGGCGTCCCCGACGGCGATCTCCCGCTGGACAAGCTCTGCGTCGAGGGCATCGGCGCCAGGAACAGTGGGCTTGGGTGGCTATGGCGGAGCTGCCACAAGCTCCGCCGCCTCGAGTTCTTCGGCTGCCAGGGGATTGGAGACTCGGACATCGCGTCGCTGGCCTGGTGCCTGCCCAATCTCCAGGAGCTTCGGCTGAGGCGCTGCCGGTGTATCGCCACCCAGGTGCTGCTCATGGTTGCCGAGGTCTGCCACGGGCTCAAGGTTCTCATCTTCATGGATGGCGGGGACATGAACGGCTTGCACCGCATCGTTCGCAGCTGCCAGTCGCTCGAGACTCTGGAGTTGCGGCTGCCGCTGGATTTGTTTAACGAGGACCTCGCGATCATTGCGCAGAACTGCCTGTCGCTGAAGATACTGCGCCTGTATAGCTGCTGGATGGGAACCGGGAACGGCTTCAAGCTCCTCGGCACGCAGATGAAGTCGAGCCTGGAAGAGCTGGTGTTAATACGGTGCCGGGCCATCGTCCAGGACACGGGTACTTTGGCTTACCTCGGGCAGGATCTCAAGAGCCTCCGGCGGTTGGACGTTTCCGAGAATGACCACCTGGCGGATAGAGAGATCACGGGACTGCTGCACTCGAGCGGGGACAGGTTGATCCACTTGAGACTGCGTAGGTGCCGGAAGGTGACGGATGCCACGCTCGAGTTTATAGGACAGAAATGCCGGGCACTCTCGAACCTGGTGATCACAAGCTGTGACGGGATTAGTCCTGCGGGCGTAGCGATGGTGCTAGCCGGTTGCCCGAGCTTGAAAAAACTATGGGTGGAGAAGGAGAAGGTTACCAGCGATGCGTGTAGACTAGCCAAAGTCAAGGGAATCTTGTTACCGGGGGTTGAACCGAATCCTTCTGATTACTAAAGGACCCGCAGCATCAGTGTACTTGCGATAGGCAGAACGTTTCAGAACTGTTCATAAGCTCCGACTCGACCTGTAAGCACGGAAGATGGGCGTAAGCGTGGGACAACAGCAAACAAGTATAAAACTTAACGTGAAAAGTTTGCTAACCAGTTTTAAGTTGCAGACACGCTTTGCTGTGCTGACGTTAGAAGCCACGATGTACAGACAGTTCAACTCCAAAGACGACTAGATTCCTTCTCGAAAGCTTCTCCTCTTTGGACAGCGCTGACGGTAAGTGGTACGGAAAATTTTCTTACCCGTGACATTGAGCAAGTAAACGAGAAATGTTTACACAAACTGCGACATCGTTGCGAGCTACTAGCTAGCTATGCACAGTGTACAGGTAGTCTACTAGCTCATTCTTTTTACATGTCGTCCTGGAAAGGAATCGTGAAAACGAGAACGATGCAATAAAACAACGGAAGATCCTAGAATTTCGTAAAGACTTCTTACCAGCGTGCTCTGATCGGCATCCTCTGTCATCTCCGATTTCGTCTCTCCAGATCCTTCGGCAGTCTGGGTCTCCTCGTACTCTGCGAGATCCTTCGCGTACGCGGCTTTCAGCAACGCGGCCTTGTTCGTGTAGGCTTTCTTGTCCTGGAGATCGTAGAAGACAAGGAACAAGTAAAAATCTACGACGATGTTAAAGAAAGACTTACATTGTCCGTCATGCTCTTCCATTTCTCTCCGCCAGCCTTGGCGACCTGCCAATCGATAGTAAATTCCTAGCTAGAAAGAAAGCATGTCGAAGAATAGAGAACTTACGGCACCGACACCCTTGACGTCGGGGTTCGCTTTCTTGTATTCCTGCCTGAACTCCGACCTGGAAAACGAGCCGGATCGTGAGAAACCATCGCGATATCGATCGACCAGCCCTTACATGAAGAGAAAGAAAGGCGTCGGCGGCCTCTTTGGGAGATTTGGATCTTTCTTGGCGGCGACCCCCTTGGCCTTCTTCGGCTTCTTCTCTTTGGACGCCGCGGCTGGCTTTCGCTTGCTGTCCCTGCCAGAAGAGAGATCCAGATCGATCAGGCGAGAGCGAAGAAGAGAAAGATCCGAAATATTACTTCGTCGCTGGGACAATCGCTGGCGCTGACACGACGCTGTTGATTCCCTTCATCGCTAGAACCCTGCGAGTCGATCGATGTGAGAGAGACGAGCCAGACGATCGAAGAGAATGGAGGAGAGTACCTGATGAGCGCCTAGAACTTCTCTCTCGAAAATAAAAGAGGGACGAAACGAAAGCCTTCCCTAGGTCGAGGAGAACACACAAACTTTATACTTCGATTTCCCGCCCAGACGAGGATCGCCAACGGACGGCTGAGATGAGTTCCCGCCAAAAACCCCGTTACGAATTATAACGGGATGCCTTTATTTTGTTAACAGGAGTTAGAGAAGATTAACATCATTTCTTACTCCCGGGTTGAGCTTAACAGCTCCGCGAGTGGCGTGAAAGGAGAGCTCAAAGAATTTGCCTTGGAGTCCATGACGAGCATGTTTCCTGTGTGATCGTCCATGAGAAAAAAAATTTGGAGTGAATTTGGAAGCACAGTACCTATCCAAAATGCCAATCCAGCAGTAATGCCCAAGAACACAGACCCACTTACGCACTCGTATCTGGAGAATCAAAACTTTAGCTTGGAAAAAGAAATCCAAGCACGGAGAAACTTACATATACATGCTGAGCAACAGGCCCCATCCTTGAACCAAAGCTCCCCACGACGACCCTGTAAACCTTTGGAAAGAAGCGACAGTAAAGTTTGATGCTACTTGGATCTGGAGATAGCCGAGGCGTACCACATGGAGTCTCGAGTGAAGAGCGCGCGCGGAAGTAGCAGGCTGTTCCCGACCATAGCTAGAAGCACGGTGATCACAGAAAGGCCTCGTAGATTCGCAGGATTTGTGATGTTTGTCCACTGCAAAATCAGTCGTGGATTAAGTAGCTAGCGACGAGGCTGTCATGAAGCTTTTTACCATTTGAGCGACGGGACTCCACATAAAAAGTAGAGTAGCGGACCAAGCAGCAAGGCCGCCAACGAATTTATGCAAAGGCTCTGATAGTTTTCCTTTACGATCCTGCAAGTTCAACCAGCTCTTATCACGCCTCATAGTTTTGAAAGTTTTTTCTCACCTGTATGATCAGTGTTAAGGTGGTAACAAAAGCAAAGACTCCCGGCAGTATCGTCGACGGAAGAAATGGCTCAAACGTTGACCACATTACCTGAATCAAGGAAAGTTAAGACGAAAAAATCGTAGCATCTTCAAACTCACTTGTGAGAGGACCGAAACCCCTCCAACGCTGATGATATCTTGCCAAAGTTTCCAAAGCTCGCTTCTCAGATACCCTTTGTAGTTAAGAAAATTGATAACATAGCCGACTATCACAGCTATGGACGTCGCGAGAAAAACTGTTGATGGCATAGAACCTGCTATCGCAAGTTGGGCCAAAACCACGTAAGTTGAAAGAACACCGACCGCTTGAACGATCATGGCTCCATTCTCTTTCTTCATCACGAAGTAAGAAAGCAGCGATAGATTCCCCATGAGACTCGTCAGTAAGCTCTACAAAACAGCAAACACCATCCGACACAATGTTACTCGAAAAAGATCGAAAGGAAAATCTTACCATCCAGGAGACTGCAAACAATGCACTATTATTCCCGGCCATAAGGTTTTGAGCATTGAGAATGGTCTGTGGAAGTTGTAGTAATAAAAACGCGAGAGTAGCCGATCCAGCCAGCTGCTCGGTGGTAGCGTTCCAGTATTTGTAAGTCTCGTTTTCGAGCTTCTCATCCTTTGGCTGCGCAAAAAGAGTGAGAAAGGAAAGAAAGAAACTTTGACACAATCAAATCGATCCAACGCTTACTCTGTGAAAAGTGGTCGGTGATGTATCACTGCACCTCACGGGCGCTCCTCTTTTTGGAATAAATGAGAGCAATGGAGATGATCTTGGAGCTCCCAATCGACTGGCATTTGCTCCAACAAGTGGATTCGATGCTCGATCGCTGCTCCAGAGCGAGCCTGGCGAGATTTTATCGTATCCCTGGCGCCTTTGTAGCATCTACGATCGCGAAAGAACACAAAGAGCGCGATTTTGAAATCGATCAGTAATATTCTCGATCGATTCACGCTGCGATTGTGAAATACCTGGAGAGATTGCGGAACTCGGATCGAGGAATGCGGCATCGAAATCGCGTCCATGATCTTCGCGCATTCCGTGACTGCGCCCGAGGAGCCCTAAAGCTAACATGTAGCTCGGAAGGGAGAGCTTTTGTTCTGTCCACGTGGTGGACAGTGAATGGAGATTTTCATGCTTAGTTAGACCAAACTAAGAACCCTAAAAACAGAGAGAAGATAGGGTTTTAGAGCACAGCGATGGCGGCCACCGGCATTGCGGGAGGCGCGATTGCAATGCAGGTATGTCGCAGAAGCACGGGATTGAATTCACGAAGATCGGAGGAGAATCTTTCGTTGGCGGAGCTCATTTCTCCAATTCGGAGAGGCATTTCCAGCAGCAGGGGTAGAATCCGGGCTGGGATAGAGCCGTTTGAGGAGCCGAGAGTGATTGTCAAGGAATCGCAAGGCTCAAGCACGATATTTCGGAAGCAAAGCGAAGCATCGCCGCCAGCGAGCTTGTTCCAGTCGCGCTATGGCGATTCTGAGCCAAGAAAGGGGGCCGACATCTTGGTAGAGGCTCTGGAAAGGCAGGGCGTGGACATAGTCTTCGCGTATCCAGGCGGCGCTTCCATGGAAATCCATCAAGCTCTCACTCGCTCTACGTGCATCAGGAACGTTCTCTGCCGCCACGAGCAAGGCGAAGTGTTTGCTGCCGAGGGCTATGCAAAAGCTTCCGGGAAAGTTGGAGTTTGCATAGCAACGTCGGGGCCTGGAGCGACCAATCTTGTCACCGGCCTGGCCGACGCTGCGCTTGACAGTGTTCCAATGGTGGCGATCACGGGACAAGTGCCGAGAAGGATGATCGGCACCGACGCTTTCCAGGAGACTCCGATCGTGGAAGTCACTCGATCCATCACGAAGCACAACTATCTGGTGATGAACGTGGAGGACATACCCCGGGTGATCGAGGAGGCTTTTTTCTTGGCTTCCTCCGGAAGGCCGGGGCCGGTTCTCGTCGACATTCCAAAGGACGTCCAGCAGCAGTTTGCGATACCGAATTGGTCGCAGCCGATCAAGCTCAACGCTTACATGCAGAGGCTGCCTCGGTTCCCGGAGGTGGCGCAGCTCCAGCAGATCGTGAGACTGATTGCAAACTCGAAGAGGCCGGTGGTGTACTGTGGTGGAGGTTGCATGAACGCTAGCGAAGAAGTCCGAGAGTTTGTGAAGCTCACGGGGATCCCGATCACGATGACGCTGATGGGACTGGGGATTTTTCCACAGTCGGATTCGCGGTCGCTGCATATGCTGGGAATGCACGGGACTGTTTATGCAAACTACGCTGTGGATGGAGCAGACTTACTTCTGGCTTTCGGGGTGAGGTTTGACGACCGAGTAACAGGCAAGCTGGAAGCGTTCGCTAGCAGGGCCAGCATTGTTCATATAGACATTGATCCGGCCGAGATTGGGAAGAACAAGCAGCCTCACGTCTCGCTGTGTGCCGATGTAAAGCCAGCGCTTCAAAGCTTGAACTTGCTGCTGAGGGAGCAGAAAGTAAAACCCGATGTTGGAAGCTGGATAGCGGAGCTTGAGGAGCAGAAACTCAAGTGGCCATTGAAGTACGTGGAGTTTGGAGACGACTGCATTGCTCCTCAGCACGCTATACAAACTCTGTGCGAGATCACCCAAGGAAATGCTATAATCTCTACGGGGGTTGGCCAGCATCAAATGTGGGCGGCGCAATGGTTCAAGTATGACAAGCCTCGGAGATGGCTTACTTCAGGAGGTTTGTTTCTCTCTTGTTTTTTTCGGAGTGTCACAACTTTTCTCTATAGGATTGGGAGCCATGGGTTTTGGATTACCTTCTGCGATTGGAGCTGCAGCGACTTTCCCTGACGTTCCTGTGATTGACATCGATGGAGATGGAAGTTTTCTCATGAATGTCCAGGTCGGTGCGAGCTTTAACGTTTTCATTTCACATACTCCTCTCGTAATTTCAGGAGCTAGCGACGATTCACGTGGAAAAACTCCCCGTGAAAATCATGGTGTTAAACAACCAGCACTTGGGAATGGTTGTACAATGGGAGGATAGATTCTACAAGGTTTAATCTTTCGGGTAGACTAAGTAGCGTTTTCTAACCTCCGTGCTTTCTCCAGGCAAACAGGGCTCACACTTATCTTGGAGATCCTGACCACGAGGACGAGATCTTTCCCGACTTCCTGAAGTTCGCCGAGGGATGCAAGGTTTGCTGAATTGTTCCCGTACGTTTTCTAAAAGCTTTCTCTTTGCTAGATTCCCTGTGCTCGAGTAACAAAGCGCTCCAATCTCAAAGCAGCAATCCAGAAAATGCTTGACACTCCCGGGCCATACCTTTTAGACGTGATTGTTCCTCATCAGGTTTGTGCTTATCAGTCGATCGATCGACCATAGCTCAAAGAGTTTCCTTCTTTTTTTCTCTCAGGAGCACGTCTTACCGATGATTCCTGGTGGTTCTTCGTTCAAAGATATCATCACGGAGGGGGATGGAAGAAAAACATACTGAAAGTTCTGTGGAAATTAAAAAAGAACAGAGAGTGGAATCGAACTCGTGACGTGTGCTTGGCAAGGAGTAGCGTGTTCGACTCCGCGGAATGGAAGTTAGGCTACATACTATAAATTGGCATTTGCTTGTCGCATTATGGCGATGGCGTCTGGAATGGAGCTTGTCAAGGCGCCAGGGATGATCGGTGCTCAATCTGTGGATCATCTCAGGGCAGGATCGACAAGCGTTGGAGGTAAATCGTGCGCCAGGAGGAGGCTGAGCGTCGTTTGCAGCAGCTCCTCGCCTACAGTTGCTCCTAGGGTTTCTAGCCCGATCGGTGGTACGCTTCCGCGAATCGATAGTCTTGGTAGTGAATTGCTACATTTTGTTGGTTGTTCATTGCTGTTTCATGATTGTTCTCATGATTTTTTTTTTCCCGTGCATGAATTTCATTGCAAGTCCTTTTTTTCTTGTTCTTCTTTTCTTGCTGGTTGATCAATGATTGTTCTCATGATTTTTTTGTTTCCGTGCATGATTTTCATTGCATGTTTGAGATAGTCCTTTTTTCTTGTTCTTGTTTTTCTCTGCGAGCCCCCGATTACTGTTCTTGTGAAAATGGATTGCAAAGTCAATCTTATTCATTCTCTGTGTTCTTTTCTTTTTTTTTTCTTTTCTTGCAGGAAGATCGAAGCCTTTACATTTTTTGCACATCGACGACTTCGACAAGAAAGAGATCCTTCACCTTTTGGAAAGGGCTGTAGAGGTGAAAGCTCTGTTAAAATCCGGGGACAGGAGCTTCCGGCCTTTCAACGGAAAGTCGATGGCCATGATCTTTACGAAGCCTTCCATGAGAACCCGTGTTTCATTCGAAACCGGATTCTTCCTCCTCGGGGGCCATGCAATCTACTTGGGACCTAGCGACATCCAGATTGGGAAACGAGAAGAAACTCGGGACGTAGCACGCGTTCTCTCGGGCTATAACGATGTGATCATGGCTCGTCTTTTTGCTCATCAGGTACTGCGAGGGTGAGTAGCACCTTCAAACCGATAAAATCTTCTGAGAGGCTGACTTTGACGGTGTACAGGATCTATTGGACTTGGCGAAGTATGCTTCCATTCCCGTTATAAATGGTTTGACGGACTATAATCATCCTTGCCAGATCATGGCAGATGCTTTGACGATTATCGAGCACGTAGGACGCATTGAAGGCGTTAAGGTACTTAAAAGACTTTATCAGTCTGATTTCTTACATGTTTCTAGCGAAGGTTGTGTATGTCGGTGATGGCAACAACATTGTCCATTCGTGGCTGAGACTAGCTGCGGTCGTTCCTTTCCACTTTGTATGCGCGTGCCCAAGAGGCTTCGAGCCTGATAAAGAAACCGTGAACAGGGCCACTGCTGCAGGCTTGAGCAAGATCGAGATTACGAATGACCCGCTGGAGGCTGTCAAGGGAGCACACGTTGTTTATTCTGACGTTTGGGCCAGTATGGGACAAAAGGATCAAACAGCTGCTCGATTGGAGCGTTTCCAAGGCTTCCAGGTAACAAATTCTTTTCTTTTTTATCTTTGCAGCCTGGATACTATTGAATATTGACGTTCTCTCTCTCTTTTACTTCCAGGTGAACGAGAAACTGATGGAAGCGGCAGGCTCACAGGCTTATTTTATGCATTGCCTTCCGGCCGAGCGAGATGTTGAGGTGACAGACGCTGTGATTGAGTCTCCAAATTCCATCGTCTTCACACAAGCTGAGAATAGAATGCATGCTCAGAACGCAATTATGTTACATGTTCTGGGCTGCTGAGTTGAGAGCCGTGGCAAATTCTTCGGCTTCACTGGTTTTGGTTTGGAGAATAACGGTTTCTTTTTGTTTTGTTTTTGTTTTGCCGTACGATTATATAATACTCTTTTGTTATAGTCCTGTATCAGCGTTCTATTGTACTGGGAAGGTAAGGATTTCGCAATTATTGATCGAACTAACTTGGTTTTTGGGGAGACTTGAACAAATGTTCTTTATATTGTACGGTTTCTGGTATGTTCATCAAGGTCCTTGTTTTTTTTATGCGTAAGGCTGCCATGCTTTCGTGGCTGATTGAAGCTCCTTTTCAAGGTTTTATTGGAGAATTTTTACAAGGTAAAAAAGCAGCTGAATTTTTCCGCCGTGAAAGAAGATCTGATACTCGATTTCGAGCAGGTTCTAACTACTACATGTTTTTCTTTTTGCTGGCAGTGTCCTGCATTGAAGTATCTGAAAGAAGTGGCTGAGAATGGAACATCGGGTCAATGACTGTGGGGAGGATGTCGCTTGGGTCCGGCGTAGTCTACATGAAAGGTGTAGTCCTCGCTCTCTCTCGGCTTTTGGTGGTGGTGGCGATTGTCATGCAGCGTGTAGCTCTTGAAATCGATCTCCTGTTTTTGAGATCTCGAAGATATCTTTTCTGGCAGCGGAGTTCTGACTCGTTGCGTTTGTGCTTCTGCCGCAGTTGTTGCCGCTGCTTTCAGCCCATCCGAAACAACTCTCTGTGTCCAAAACCATGCGATCAGATGCGGCGAGAAATGAATTGTTCGTGCCAGCTCTTACCTCTTTAAGAAGCCGAGACGAGTGAGGGGAAAGCAAAACCTCGCCTTTAATGACGACTCTGGAAGATTTGAAACGAGCTGTCGAGGTGTGAGCATTTCTCCTGCACTCTTTCTCTCTGTGATATCTCAGCTTACCTTGATCCCGGTGATGATGCTGTTGCAGGAGTAGCGACCTGGCAGAAGCTGCAGAGAGGAGTAAGTTCATCATGATCCCCTGAACCAACCAGGCGAGGAGACTTTGCTGCATCCTCGCTCCTCGCCTGGCCCTGCCACTGATGATCGTCATCACCATCTCTCCAGAGGAGGAGAATCAAGACGCTGTTGCTTCTGCTGAGAGCACTTCCACCGGACCGCGGAATTCTGCGTTGCAAGTTCGAGAGACACACTGCTGGATACATGTAAGTCTGGGCTTCCCAGGGGAATTATATATTAACTAGTATATTGCTCGCGCTCTTACACAGGCCGCGCTGTTAAAAAAAGAGGAAGACAAGCTAGGCGAGAAGGAAGGTGGATGGGAAACCAAAGTTTTTAATGTGCACAGTGCTCGACAAGCGTCTCACTGCCCCAGCGGGGGCGGGTCCGGGACGCAGGCAACAAAGCGAAGAAGCTCAGCACAAATCTTGTAAGATTGTAAGAGGTTTCAATTCCCCTCCTCGTTTCTTCCTTGTCTTGTCTCTCGTTGTTTAATTGTTTCTAGTCGCAGTGATGGTTTGGTGTTCTTGGGGAGTGGTACTTGTGCGTGGTGGCTGGCCTGCAGCCTGGGCACACACTAGAAGCAGATTTCGTGAGCTTTGTCGCTCACCAACAACGCGGAAGATCTTCGTCAAAAAGAGGTGCGAAGAAAGAACGAAAAAAAAGTTTTATACTTATAGAGAGGAAGCTTGTCCTTCCTCTGACAACAAAATGTGCGTAGAACGATTGTTGCAGCTCTCGTTTCTTTCATTTTCTTACTATTATTATTATTATTATTATTTATAAAAGTTTTTTTAAAAAATCAGACGATGATCGGCTTTACTATCAAGCACAAAACAGAGCTTCTCCCAAAGCCACCTCTAAAGGTGTTGGTACTTTGGAGGAAGGATGGCTACGTTTTTTACCTGTGAGTTAACAGCGATATGGCAGAGGATTGACACCAAGGTCTATCAAGGGGTGTTGCATTGCCGCGGGTGCTGACAATACCCCTATAAAGATCCAGTCTTGTTTTTCATTCTTATAGCTTTTCTCATAATTAATGTTCAGCTGTACATCATTTACAAAACATAAACTCTACAAATCTGGTTGTTTGTTACACGGTTCATTTCGACTCCTGCAAATTTGAAAGAAAGAAAAAAGAGTCCTATCACCATATCTGCATTATCTTTTGCCTTGGTGTTTTATTCTCCATAGTCTGTGGAGCAACAGCACTCCAAACCCAGAATTAAACCACTATATATATAGTAAATATTATATCGAGATGTCAATCAAGGCGATGATGAAAACATTCCTGCAAGGCATTGTGGTGACCGCATTGGATTTGTCGTCTGATGGAGCCAGGTTTTTCTTCTTTGTTCCTCTGGCAATCTCACTGTTTTGTTTTGTACTCCTTTCAGGGACGGCCTCGTAGCAAAGCTGATATTCCTGAACCAGCTCTGTGATCTTTCAAGTTATCTTCCGAGGAGCACTCTCGAGGCTTGCATTCCGCGCTCGATGATGCGCTCCATCTACCAGTCATACTACGAGAACTTGATGACCAGTCAAGGAGGCACGGCTCTTTCAACGTGAGAAACGGCCAGGTCGTCCCGGAATCCCACGTAGCCGACGGCATTCTTCCACCATATCCGCGCAGCTCCGCCACGGCTGCTACTGCTACTACCTCGAGGGCTTTCTCGATCTCTACAGAAGCAGGAGGAGGAGGATCCAGCAACGCTCCCAGGAAGAACGAGAGGTTTTCGGGGCCGATGATGCTCGACCCGGACGGAAAGAAGGCCTCGTTCACAGATCCAAGCTCCACCCGGAAGTGTGCCGTTTCATCGTCACGGGCAGTGCAAGCGTAACAGTTTTTCTCTTGTTTGTTTCCTTTCTGATTGTAAAATTCAATAATCAATTACGCATTTCTGAACTTTCTTAATCTGAACCTGATTTGGAACAACGATCAACTTAAAGGAAGATGGCATTGGGAGACGCGAACTCACGACCTCAAAGCGAGAATCATACCACTAGACCAAATGCCCATTACATTAATAAGAAGCATTAACGCCCACTAAACGGTTGCATTCTGGTAAGATTGAAATATCGAATAACATAAATAATCTGTGTGTTTAAGTAAAAGCACGGCCCAGGACAAAATCAAGAGACTGAAACTTGTGGGTGGGAGTCAATTGCCAGCCAAGTCTGCGAAACCAATGTCGATCAAGAGGGATAGACAAAAAAATAGCACACTACTTTTAATTGTTCTCCATTTTGATGTACTCTATTACAGTGAAAGGTTTTAATCACATGAGTGATTCTTACAATCAATGGTGGACGCTCTCCACACGGATTGGAGAGAAGTAACTGTTGCTCTTGTTCCCAGAGACATGGGAGAGGATCTCTTGAATCATGTTGTTTGTCTTGTTTGTGCAAGTTGAGTTCTCGAGTCGCCTCATCAGGTGGCATCTCGTCCCGCCAATCACCACCAAGAGCTGGGCGTTCCTTGGGGTGCAATCATCACGGTCTCTCCTGCAGAGCTCTTGGGTGAGGAGGCTGTGAAGCTCTTGAGCTCCAGCATAGTGGAAGTAGTTCAGTCCCAGTAACTTGGACGTGGATTGCGGCCAGAAGTCATGGAAATTGTTATGGGAAGTGATAATTCACCCATCAATTTTGTATGCTACCTTGTTACTCAGATTTTTTTTGGGAACTAAAAAAGGCTTTTCCTGGAGCTTGCGCCTTCTCTTTGGAGCACAGCTTGTCCCTCCTTGTCTCACTGCCTCCTCTTTCCCTTCTTGATCGCGTCCATCACTACCACAGCGTTAGCTTTCTTGTTCGCCGCTGCCATTGAACCCTGATTGTCTGAATCTTAAAAGGCCTTTTTATATGGCAACAAAAAATGTAATTAGACACACTGTTTAAGAGTAAGTGACAGCGAATGTTCTAATGACCGTTTATAAGTAATATAAAGAATCAAATGAGCCTTAGTTCTTCCTCTTCGCGACCTCGATATTTCCGCTCCAAACTTGACCGATTGCGAGGTGAGGAGATTTCTTGCGGTGCTCAAGGACTGCTCGCGATCGCGGGATCTGGACGGCATTGATGCTCGGGTACGTTGAAAACAGCCAGGCTGAAACAGTGCTACATTTTTTCTTGCTAATGCAGCTCGAGGGATGTTCTCCAGACGTGTGGACGCTCGTTTGCGAGCTCAAAGCTGGTGGAAGCTCGGTAGCCTTAAGGCTTGGCCGGATACTTCACGAAGAGATCACGAGCTTGGGGTTCCAGTTCCAGGGAGCCGTGATCTCTTCATTGGTCGATTTCTACAGCAGCTGTGGGAACATGGACGAAGCGGAGCTGGTTTTCAACTCGGTCTCGAGGAAGGATGCTGTGAGTTGGAGCTCACTTATCGCGGGCTACAGCCGCCAGGGAGACAGCGATCGAGTGATGTGACGAGGGTGTCAAGCCGGACGGTGTAACTTATGTCTTGGTGATCGCGACTTGCAGCCGGGCTGGGATGATCGAGCAAGGCAAAAAGTTTTTCCAGGAGATGACGTCTAGGTGTGGATTAGATCCGGGCATTGAGCACTACCACAGAATGATCGGCATGCAGGCACAGCAGCTCGAGGAAGCTGTGGAGATGGTGGAAGCTATGCCGTTTGAAGCCACAATGGTCACTTGGACGAGTTTGCTGGGTGCTTGCTCCAAGTGGAAGGATGAGAGAGTGGAGAAGATTGCTTGTGACAACATCCTCTCTCTCCTGTGAAAGATTTCTCCATAGCTCGTTACACGGGCTTCACGTTGATCTCAATGATATGGAAGGTTGATATATGGACGTCCGCAAGCTACATTGAATCAAGAAGTCTCTAAAGCGATCCCTGGAGCTGCATTTCTCAGATGGCATGCTGGGATTGCCTGCAGTAGTCATTGCTCAATCTGTATTTCCTGGAATATCGCCAAAACATGGTCACGGCTCATGGTCTGCACGATTCGACTGATTCCCTTCTTGTGTCCATCAAAATCAATGGCAATCGCGTCCATATCTTTTCCTGCAAAGGATGTCAAACCAAGAGCTGCAGGAGGAGGCCTGGGACCAACCATACATGTTGATGAGACGATCTATTTGATCCGGTCATGGATGTGCATGCACTGATCGCACATACCTCTCCCTTATTTAGGATCATTACAAAAATAGAAATGCGAACTGGAATGGATCACATGTGAAAGAAAAAAGAGAGGATTAGGAACAATCACTGCCTGCATTATCCATGGATACTTTTCATGCTTGGCCAAATTGTATTATAATGTCTTAAGGTTTATTATTTATTTTGATCAACTAAAATAAATAAAATGGTTAAATTGACATTTCTTACCTATAAATTCAATTTACAAAAAATGTTAGTTTAATTAGAAACTTCAAATGCAAAAAATTTATGAAAAAAAATATAGTTAAAACATTTTACAATTGTAAGTTTAAAACCATGTTTTTCCTTCTAAATTAGTGTTTGGGTTTACAAAATTATATATTTATATTATAAAAATACTATAAAAACATTAAATAAAAATTAAAGTTTATTTACATTTGGAGATTATAAAGTAAAATTGTTGCAATATATTAAAAAAAGAACAATTTTAAAATAATTTTTTTATTTCTAAATTAGCACTTGGACTTTAAATGCTTCCAAAGTTATATATTCATGTTATACAAACTCTAAACTACAACTAAATAATAATTAAATAAATGAATTATTATTTTATTTGATATTGTAAAGGATTAAAATGTAAAATTATCCAATTGGATAAAAAATTACTTAAAAAATTAAAGAGTAAAATCATTTTTTCAGTTCAATTATGCATATGTATCATAATGTTTTTCCTAAAAAAAATTTTGAACACTTATTTTAATTTATCATTTTAAAAATTAAAATTTGATATAATTTTTTGTTCAAATTGTTTTATAAAAACTGTAAACCTAAAAAATCTGAAAAGACTCTGGAAAATAATTTTATTAATATAGTTTTTTCTAATATAAAACAACCATCTTTCACTTAACTATCAAAATCAATCATAAAAGAATTGCAACTGAATGTGAACCACATTTGACTTAAAGGAAGCAAAATTTCTTTTGGTTGGTGTTATTTATAATGATCTAACCAGATTCATTCTTACCAAATTTTTTGCAGAATTGTCACCAAGGACTGCTTCTCCTGGGTGATGATATTGTAAGCATTTGCCACAAATGGTCATCTCCATGAAGCAGAACAGCTCTTGTTCAATATCCATCAAAACAACTTATGCAATGATAGCTGGTTATATCACAAACAACGCTCTTCTCAAGGCACAGTCACTTTATGAATCAATCCCAGAATGAAAACTCATTTCTTCTACCACAATTCTTACTGCACTTGCTTGTTCTGGGCATTTGGAGAAAGCCAAGCTAGGTTTTCATTCAATGGAGGAACGTGATCTCATCACCTGGAACGCAATGCTCGCTGCCTATACACACAGTGACAATATGGACGAACTCTGATATTGTCTCCTGTCAACATACGCCCGATCTGGGGATTCTCACAGCACAGACCAAATCTTCCATCGCATGACTGAAGTTAATCTTGTCTCCCCCACCACAATGCTCAAATCTTATGCAGAACAGATCAAGCCCAACAAGTCTTTGATGGATTTGCCGCACCGCGACATGATGACATCTCCTGGAAAGTGATGATTGAAGCATATAGCGCTTCAAGGAGCTTAACCCAACAAAGCCAGCAGCAAGGATATAGTGATGTGGAACCCAAGGCCGGGCATCTGAAAATGGCTAAACAAATTTTTTATTCTATGCCGCTACAAGATGCCGACAAGGAGCACCCTCATGGCAACATATGTTCAAGAGCTGTTCGATAAGACCATCACTCGAAGCGTCACAATTCACGGGTATGCCATAAACGGGCAAATGGCGAAAGAAAAGAGCTTGTTTAGCACGTCCCTGATTCGATTCCAGGTCGCGCGAGTGATGCTCTTGCACGAGGCAAAAGGCTTCTTCGAAGCTTCCATGCCGAAGAAAGATGGAGAGACGAGCGCGGAGCAATTTCTCATTTGTTGAAAATACACTCGGGACCTCTTGCAAAGCGAGAACCATGCCACTAGACCAAATGCCCATTAGGCCCACTAAATATTTCAGTCGGCACGGCCCCGGACAAAATCAAGAGACTGAAATTTGTGGAAGTCACGGTTATAGAATCGCCAGCCCATATCGGTGAAGCAATGCACCAGGAATTTAAGAAGCGAAACCAATGTCGATCGGGAGGAATAACACGCTACTTTTAATTGTTCTCCATTTTGATGTACTCTCTTACAGTGAAAGCTTTTAATCACATTGGTGATTTCAATGGTGCACGCTCTCCACACGGATTGGAGAGAAGTAACTGTTGCTCTTGTTCCCAGAGACATGGGAGAGAATCTCTTGAATCATGCTGTTTGTCTTGTTTGTGCAATCCTTGGCATGGATTTCCTTGGACATGTCCCGGCTCATGCTCGTGCTCCTCCCATCAAACATATACTTGAACAGCGTGCACAAGCTTCCACCCTCTTTAATCTGGACTCCATACCAGATCTTGTCTCCAGCGCATCTAGTCGAGTGGCACAAGTCCTCGAGTCGCCTCATCATGTGGCATCTCGTCCCGCCAATCACCACCAAGAGCTGGGCGTTCCTCGGGCCGCAATCATCACGGTCTCTCCTGCAGAGCTCTTGGGTGAGGAGGCTGTGAAGCTCTTGAGCTCCAGCGCAGTGGAGGTAGTCCGGTGCCGGTAGCTTGGATGCTGATCGCGGCCAAAAGTCATGAAAATCGCTGTGGGAAGTGATAACTAACCCATCAATCTTGTATACTACCTTGCTGCTCAAATTTTTCTTTGGGACCATAGGGGGTTCCTCCTCGAGCTCATGCCTTCTCTTTGGAGCACTAGCCTTTGTATGAGTTTGTCCCTCTTTGTCTCGCTGCCTCTTCCTTCCCTTTTTGATCACAGTCATCGCTGCCACAGCGTTAGCCTTCTTGTCCACACTCTCGATCTCCGCCGCCATTGAACCCTGATTGTGTGAATCTTAAAAGGCCTTTTTATATGGCAATAAAAAATGTAATTAAATAGTTATTTTAGTACGGACAACCTTGACCGTTTATAAGACTATCTTGACCCTTTGAAACAAAGAATCAAATGAAACCTTCGTTCTTCCTCTTCGCGACCTCGAGCTTTCCGTTCCAAGCTTGGCCTCGCCCGCTCCAGCGATTGCGAGGTGAGGAGATTCCTTGCGTCGCTCAAGGAATGCTCTCGATCCCGGGGTAAGAAAATCCACGCCGAGGCGGAGCGCTGCGGCCTCGATTCCAATGCGTTCGTGACGAGCAACCTGGTGAATCTCTATGGCAAGTGCGGCAGCATGGACGAGGTGCGCAGGGCTTTCGACCGGATGGATTGCCCCGACCCCGTCGCGTGGAATTCTCTCATTCTGGGCTATGCCGAGAATGGGCATGGCGGGGTTGCGCTCCAGCTCTTCCTGGACATGGAATCGCGGGGCTTGCAAGGGAGTTCTGTCACGTTTATTGGATTGCTCAAGGCCTGCGCGAGCCTCGCAGGGAAGGAACATGGGAAGGTTTTTCAAGATCTAGAGCTCGTCGTGAAGTTTTCTTCTGTCGAGAGAGGAATGGCTCTTCACTCCCTGGCCGCTGCAAGGGGAATCGACACAAACGTTTTGGTAGCTAGCAGCCTGGTGGAATGTATGCTCGGTGTGGAAGCGTGGTGGATGCGTGGAAGGTTTTTCATGGAGCTCCAAAGCATGACGTAGTTCTATGGACATCTTTGATGCAGGGATTTGTAGAGAATGGGCAGAGCGAGGTGGTGCTTCAACGAGAAAGCAGTGGAGCAAATGCCAGAACCTTTGTTGCGGTGTTCCAGGCCATCACTTCTCTAGCAAAGACGGAATGAGGAGAAGATACAATCCATGGAAGGATACTCAAGCTGAAGTCTCTGGAAAGAGATATGGCTTTTCATGCACAACCCTTGCAAGTTACTAACCATATGCATCTCTTGGATATCTTTCTTCACAGCTTCTTGATTCAAATGTACGCGGCTTGTTGGGCGATGCTCTTGGAGTGTTTAGCACCATTTTCCAACCAAATCAAGTCTGCTGGACGGCATTGGTGCTCGGGTATGTTGAAAACAGCCAGGCCGAAACTGCTTTACATTTGTTCTTGCTAATGCAACTTGAGGGGTGTTCTCCAGACGTGTGGACACTCGTTTGGGCTCTCAAAGCTGGCGGAAGCTCGGTAGCCTTGAGGCTTGGCCGGATACTTGATGAAGAGATCACGAGCTTGGGGTTCCAGTTCCAGGGAGCTATGATCTCTTTGTTGGTTGATTTCTATAGCAGCTGTGGAAAGTGAAATTGGTGTTTTATAGCGCATATGATCATGGGATGAAATTTGAATATACTGTTACCATGGATCCTTGGAACTTTAGGGGATAAATAAGGATAAAATAGTCATTAAAAGCTCTCTCATTAAGCAATTACCATTTTTCCAGTTAGTTTAAAGGGAGAGATAAAGTGTGCTATAGTTGGTATCAGAGTAAATGACACGGGTTTGTTTATTTAAGGACATTGACATCTCTGTAGGAAAGTAAATGTGCTTTTGGACAATTGCGCATAAAGTTTCTTGAACATATAGTTGGTGGTGGCATAATTGAGGTAAATTCAAAGAAAGTAGAACTAGTGAAGTCTTGAGA